ACTTTATGTGGTGTAATTATATTGTTCTTCATTTTGTTGTATATTTGACTCGATTTTTTACAGACTGCTGCCATATAGCTGGAATATTGCTGAGTGTGGCGCAAAACTAAACTCACTCCCTCGTAAGAGGCGACTAATGAGATCGGGTTGTCAGGCTCGCTGACTTGGTTGACACATGTCATCGTATCCCAATTGCGTATTTGATGCTCATGATGTTGATCACTGGATTGTCTGGTCCAGACTAAACTCACTCCCTCGTAAGAGTCGACTAATGAGATCGGGTTGTCAGGCTCGCTGACTTGGTTGACACATGTCATCGTATCCCAATTGCGTATTTGATGCTCATGATGTTGATCACTGGATTGTCTGGTCCAGACTTGATTATTTACAGACTGCCGCCACATAGTTGTAATATTGCTGAGTGTGGCGTAAAACTAAACTCACTCACTAATTTTAGTCTAGTTTTTAACCATTTTTATGTTATAGGTCCTTTGGATTTCATTAAGCCAATAGTCACCATGTGACTGCTCTGTCAAGGGCTACTTGATGCTCTGTGATGAGAGGATTAGAGTGAATGACAAGTGGGTTTTGGGAGGTTTGAGGTGTATGACAAGAGCGTGATGAGTTGGTTGGGGCGTGTGACAAGTGTGTGATGAGTGGGTTAGGCTGAATGGCAAGTGTGTTATGGAAGGTTTGAGGTATATGACAAAAACGGGATGAGTTCGTTGGGGCATATGACAAGTGTGTGATGAGTGGGTTAGGCTGAATGACAAGTGTGTTATGGAAGTTTTGAGGTGTATGACAAGAGTGTTATGAGTAGGTTTGGGCATATGACAAGTGGGTTATGAGTAGGTTTGGGCATATGACAAGTGTGTTATGGAAGGTTTGAGGTGTATGACAAGAGCATGATGGGAGGGTTGAGGTATATGATATAAGTGTGTGATAGGAGGGTTGAGGTGTAGGAAACTTGGTGTTTCATACTAAAAGTGTCAGTTGTTCACTTCTGTTTACAAAAATGTTTCATTTGCTCTTTTATGAAAGTTGGTACTGGCACTTTGTTTATGTTATTGCAATTAAATATTGGATACAATGCTCACTGAAGCAATATACAGGCATGAAATAATTGCTCATTTAAGGACAAACAGTCTACATCTAGCCAGAAATCTGGTTTCATTTGGGCAATATACAGGCTTGAAATGCTGTACACCTGGGCCCCGTTCCTCAAAGCGATCGTAGTGATAAGATGATCGTAACTCCCATACTTTAACATAGACTTACGACTATCGTAGCGCTACGATCGCTTAGATGAACAGGGCCCAGATCTGATATCTATGGTTTCACTGAGGCAATATAAAGGTCTGAAATACTGTCTCTGTTAAGTTCTAGCGGTCTACACCTGATCTGATATCTATGGTTTCACTGAGGAAGTATACAGGTCTGAAATACTGTCTCTGTGAAGTTCTAGCGGCCTACACCTGATCTGATATCTATGGTTTCACTGAGGCAATATAAAGGTCTGAAATACTGTCTCTGTGAAGATCTAGCAGTCTACATCCAACTTGACCTCCTGGGTTTTTGAAATAGAGGTCAAACATACCAGCCTGTTTGTCTGCACCCTCCATTATGCATTGACCATATAGTCCTGTGGTCAGATGATATTTTTTTATTTAGTTGACACACCTGTAGTATCTTTCTTACCTCTTCACACATGATGAGTATTTACAATTTTATATATTGCTTGTGTCTTTTAATTCTGTATATTTCTATTATTCCTCAATTTTTAATTCTTCATACCAAAATCTGCATCTCTAATCAGGGGTGGAAATAACTTTAAAATTGCTAGTGTACTCCGGTACAGTGGCACATGTAAAATCACTTGCCCTGATAATTTTTCCACTATACCGACCATTTTCTTGTTGAATTTTAAGATAAACAACATAATTAATATTGGAAAGTCAACTGGACACCGGTACAGTGTGATATACAAATTTGCTTGCCCGACAGAAAAAACCACTGGAGTCGGGCAATGGGTTATTTCCACCCCTGCTAATGTAGAAAGTGCTATCTATCACTTTGCTGTTTGCTGTTTGAAATGTTTGTTACAAATATATTTTCTTAATCCATTTTGGGGGGTGTCTCTTCACCAACCACTGCACAGATATACATTGATATTAAATTCCACATACATTTCTTATTGAAATGTATTCTTATTGAAATGTATTCCATAAATAAATAGTTACAAAAGACTTTCTCTTTTTTGTTGAGTGTGAAAGAATTCTTAGTTCTCAACAGGTATCAACACACTAATCACTTACATTTATCTTAATTTCTGTTGTTCTTGCACAAATAAGCAACTGAAAGTAGTATTCTGCTGCAATCAGCAATATTACAGTAGCATGTAAATGTACGAGACATGAATGAATGAAAGTCTGGGTCCACATCCCAATAGTATGACGACAATCAGCCAAGGTGTGACCAACACAGGTGAATTTGTATATGTTTCTCCAGCTCAATGAAACTGATTGAACAGATCAGCTGCCAACATCTATTACTTTACAGGAAAATGTAATCAAAAATACATTATCTCTGGCAAATTTAATTTACTCACCATATGAATGAGTGAGTGGGTATGGTTTTATGTTGCTTTTAATAGCAATATTTCAGCAATATCACGGCAGGGGACACTAGAAACTGGTGTTACACTAACCAATGATATATCAGCTGTCCAATGTGTTTTCGAAATAGATACCAGATCCTTATTTGCTTTGGACTTAATATGCTTCAAGAAAGCGCATGTGTTTTGATCTAAGAATAAATGTAATAAGATTCACTTCCTAAGACAAGTGTCTTTTGAAGGCAGTCATGTTGCAGTTTTCATGGGATTCATGTATATCGTGGCAGTATTGATAGTTGGGGATGTTTCAAATGTGGAATCTATTTTGAAAACACAATGGCACAATCCTTAGCAGAATGTAGTGGAAATTCAAAATCAAAATCATTTTTAGGGAGCAGCACAAAAACTATTTCTGATTATCACTTTGTCGATATTGCACATAAAGAACAGAAACGTTAGAATTAAGATAGTATGAGAAGACCTCACTCATATACAGTAACTAAATGGAAAACCATTGGATCAGTTATGCTCATTTTGCTAATTCCCAGTTAAATGTACAGATGTGAAGGTGGTTATAATTTCAATCTGACTGGTTGTGTCCATCTGTAGTGCCTCTTTGACATGTTACGGAACTTTCATTCTTATGTGCATCAAACTTGGTTGTATCAAAGTTTGACTGATACCATGCTCATATTAGCAAGGTATTAGCGGCATTAACCAGTAAGGCCTTTTTTTCAATTACTTGGTTTACGGATTATTATTAGAATAAAATATGTAAGTTGGTAGGGTGTGGTCCAGCAGATCTTACATCCACTTACAAGTACTGATTCAGGGAATTTTTGAAAGGTATAATTTGGTAAATGTTTTATCCACCGCAACATGTTTTGCAAGGGGTATTGAAATGGACTCCGTCCGTGCATGCACATTTTTCTTTTCCAGACCATAACTCTAAAACCGTTCATTATTTCTTCACCAATTTCTGAATAAAATATTTTTTGCGTTTCCATGGCAACAAGTTTGACTTAGACTGAAATTGGTGGTAGTATTCTAAAACCGTTCAATGTGTCTTCACCAAACTTGGCACAGATATAGATCTGGTGGTGAACTGGTGCCTTTTGGTAGTTTTGGATTTCTGAATAAAGTGTTTCTGGCTATTCCATGTCAACAAGTTTCACTTTGACTGAAATTGGTGGTAGTACTCTTTTCCGGAGCAGAGCTTAAAAACTGTTCACTGTTCCATCACAAAATTTATACATAGGTAGGTCTAATGGTGAACTGGTGCCTTTTGCTAGTTTTGGATTTCTGAATAAAATGGTTTTTTTGCGTTTGCATAGCAACAATTTTGGCTTCAACTGAATTTGGTGGTAGTGCTACTTTCTGGAGCAGAACTTTGAAACCTTTCAGTACTCTCCTTACACTTAGCTATGTACATGATAATCATAAACTGTAGACATATTCATGAAGAGTATTTTGCCGTTGCGGGGGATATTGATGACTTTGTCTTCCTGTTTCACTTCCTTTGTTTTTTATGTCGGCTGCATATAATGACAAAAAAAACACCAAGTAAACAAAATTTACAAATGTTGGCAAATAAATTGTTGAATTGTAGGAGTCCATTAAAAAAAATGATGTTACCTCCAAGTAAGGTTAGTTTAATGACAGTTGTATACAACTGATTTAATGCATCTAATTTGAGGCACATAAATTGTAGGGTTTTGTCACATCCAAGTTCAGTAACTTCAGTAACAGGAGACATGTGTAATACATAACAGTGCTCATTATTGTTCAAAAGATTTTAACACACTGCACATTTGTTACCTTTGGCACTTGAGTTGATCTTTGACTGGGATGTTGATGTTGCTGATGATAGATCATGTCAAGCGGATGTTGAGTTTGTGAGAAAATTTAACACTACCATTCATCAAACTGCTAATACGCCAACTTTTAGTTCTAGGTCAACACTTTCTGTCAGGTGTCAGAACTTTTGTTCATTTCATGATTTACAGTAAATATCCATCCAAATGTAACAAGGGGCGGTGGGGTAGCCTAGTGGTTAAAGTGTTCGTTCATCACGCCGAAGACCTGGGTTACATTCCCCACATTGGTACAATGTGTGATGCCCATTTCTGGTGTTCCTTGCCATGATATTGCTGGATTATTGCTAAAAGCTGCGTAAAACCATACTCACTCACTCACTAAAATATAACAGACCCGGGACATCATTATCTCCATCAGCTGCCAATGTAAAGGGGCACAACTCTGCACACTTTGCTCAACCTTTTATGATTGCTTCACCTATACTGGTAAGTGTTCTCCAGCTTGTTGCAGCACTACTGTCTGGCAAGAACCATCTGATCTTATCATGTTAGAAGTACACAAAGACATGTCCTCTTTAATCATTTATTTGTGCTTGTTACCTTTGAATGGAACAAATCACTATTTCACAATATTACATACATGCACTAATGCACATCTTTTAACATTCATCTTGCCATGTCATATTGCAATTTTCATAATTACACATTCAGTGACCACCAAGTCACATGCATTTATATACACATTTACAAGCTGATTGACAGACATAGGAGATTCTGATTAATGTCACTACAACAGAAAAGGCAACCATATGAGACTAATGTACGAAATTTTGGATGTGACAATACAACATTGGTTCATAAATTTTAGCAAACTTAAAGATGAAAGTGACATGTTGTTATAGAGCTATCCCCCATACTGGAAAAGTTGAGTTTATTCATCAGTAATTCAACCAGCCCAACTGAACCAACATAGTGTGAGCTAGCACAATTTTCCTTGTGTTACATGGGTTCATTGATAGGTTCTGAGCCTCACATAGAAGGAAATGTTACATCTCCACATATGTGAGTATAACACTTGGGATGGATACCCTTCCTAATCCTCTGTAAAGAGGTGGACAACAGACTTTAAGCACGGTAGGAAGAACCGTGAAGAAGCCCCACATCTTGGAATTCTTGTGACATCAACACCAGACATGATCTAGAGAATCTACTAAATGCTGATGAAAGACCAATGGATGACAATAGACAGGCACTTCTCATGAGAGAGAGTACATTCCATTATCACAGAAACTTACACAAAGAAGGAAATACCAGCTCAGTTGTCCAAAACTTCTGGCTTCTGACAAAACATGCACCAGGCACAACGTTTGATAATCTAGGTATTTTCCAAACTGACCCAGAAGAGTTCTTGCAGTGGTATGCAACTGTGGATGAAACTTGGGTTCAACTCTTTCATTAAGTTTTTCGTTAAGTCCATATTTTAGATGTCCAAAATGACTGTCATGGTTTAAGTTGAAACGGGTTCCAGCAAGAGCTTTCTTCCTGCATTGACCTGTGACAGTTTTTGCGAACTTTAGTGATGGTGATGTGAAATGATGACATGAAAATTTATATCATTTTATCATCTTTAGGTGAAGTTTGGTCTGGTTGTTGTTTAACTCCGCACTCAGCAATATTCCAGCGGCCTGTAAATAGTCTAGTCTGGACCAGACAATCCAGTGATCAACATCATGAACATCACTATACGCAATTGGGATACGATGACACATGTCAACCAAGTCAGCGAGCCTGACCACCCAATCCCGTTGGTCACCTCTTACGACCAGCATGGGTTACTGAAGACCAATTCTAACCTGGATCTTCACGGGGTTTTAGATGAAGTCCTTCTATGCGAGTCTCTAAAACCTATCATTCAACCCTCAGATCATGGCAAATTTGGGGCGTTCATTTAAATATGGCTTTCAGTAATGTTTGATGATAATAAGACACACTTTGAAGAACAGTGCAGAACATATTTAATCATCAGAGAACTGAGCAGAGATTCTATGCAGGACATTTAGAGGAACACCTTTCACGGGTTTTCATGAACACAAAGAAAACTGTCTGTCGGTCACAACTCAACTCAAAGTCATTCCTATATCACACATTCTCCCCAACAAACTTATGAGTGAGTAAATTAGAGCAACCTCAGCAATATTTCAGCCACAGACAGCTGGAATTGTAGTGCACTTTATCTTTGTGATGTTCATATCAACTACAGCACAAGTACAGTAACATTACTGTACAGTTTGGTACGGCTACTACAAGTATTTACAGATTCTGCTTGGATATACAAAACAGCCTTGCAACCCCAATGCTCTGGCATACAAAATAATGGGGAATGAACAACAGTCACTACAGTGAGATACTTGCAGACTGAAGCATTTTCTTGGTGATTGAAGACACAAGAGATTGGTAAAGAAACAACAAAAATACACTTCTTAGGTCCTGGGCAAAATGAAAAATATGTGTTGAAAGTGTACCATCCTCTTTTAGATTCAAAATGAAATTCAAACCTCACTTACTTATGAGCTGCCCTCATCCAATTTGTAAATATTTGTCTATGAATCAGTTCTTACTCATTTTGATGCTTAGGCATATTTGAATACTTTCTTGATGGCACTGCCCTGGCATGTAGAGATGATGTCAATCTACTGCTCTCAAGTCTCTGGTTATGTAACACTAAATGGCAGGATTCTGACATACAGGAAGAACCTTGTAAAATTTCAGAAATTTCAGTAAAAAGACAGAAATGAATTATAATTTGTGTGCATGACTATATACAATAAGAGTAATATTTACCATCCTTGGTTATTTCATAAACATTTTGGCAGGAAAGATATTTCTGGGGAAGGGAAATATTGTACACAAAATAACTTAATACACTGAATAATATAATAACATAATTCAATGTTCACTTAGATATACCATATGTAGTCTTTGACAGGCATTTCAATTTGTAAAAAAGTGAAGTTATTGTTGTGTCAACTTATGTATGTAGTTTTATACAGACTTTAATCAGAACTGATATCCTGTTCATGCTATTCAAACTTTTAACAAAATGCTGAGTAAACATAATGAGTACAATAGAACAGGTGTGCCTTGGCCCTGCTCCCACCAGTGAGTCCTCTACACAGAGGATTTGTCCTCCTCAGTTGCACCAACATTGGTCAGCAGGGCCTGGGAGCTGCTGTTGCTACCATAGCTGGAGCCTTCAGTACCACTACTACCTCCCCCGTGTGTGGTGAGCTGATCGACAGGCTGCATGGCTTGGTAGTCCGATTCCTCCAGAGACCCTGCTGGGTGGTATAAGCTCACTCCCCTGATCTCACTCTCCTCACTCTCCGTCATACACTCTGTACCAAACAGAGGAAACACAACTCGAAATTATAACGGTTTTGAGTATTACTATAACCTGATGTCAACTAATAATGTATAAATACATGAACATAATAGAACATCATGTTGCATACTTGGGAGAACATCTAGATCCATGGAAAACATTTGACTTAACATCATTGTCGACCCTGCTAGCTACTCAAGTGTAATCATTTACCCAGAAAGGGGATTAAGATATCACATCATTATCGTCATGTGAGACCGTCATATCACAGGTGGTGTAATAACTAGGCCAGTATTATACACCCTGCTTGGTTGATAGAGCTTGTGAATGTATTTAGAATGGGAGATCAATGTGAGCCTGATTGGTAAGAAATTAGAGTTATGTCCCTTTGCGAGTTGTCTGCTCATCTACTTTTTCCGTAACAACGTGTTTAACAAGGTGAAATTGTATTACATTCACAAATAAAACCATTTTTCAATTTCATGATATTGTATATGATAAAAATGAAATTTTTAGAGTAAAATTAATATTTGTATACTTATCCTGACTCATGCTTATTGCTTGTCTTCTTCTTCTGGCGAACCTAGTGGAACACTTGTATCTCCCAATTGAAGTTCCCTTCAATAAAAAATCACTCATTAGTACCCACCACGAGTTACCTCCCTCCCACAAGCGCGGGAACGAGGGCGCCACCCGAACCCATGTGCCTCACTCTCTCCTCATATACTGAGCCCAACATTTGAATTTTCAGGGAAATCCAAAGTGTTAAATGGGGAGGACGGGAGGGCTTACCTCATGAGTCAGGATAAGTATAAAAATATTAATTTTACTCTAAAAATTTCATATTTTTTCCTTATCCTGACTCATGCTTATTGCTTGTAGAATCCTACGGATAGGAGGTGGGATTATATATACTTTGGATTTTACTAATTAGTGATTTGAACTGAGATGATTGTAATAACTCTATGGGAACTTCATAAAGGCACTGAACTGAAGAATTCCTGCTGTAACTTATCAGCTGCAATATAAAGGTTATTACAATTTACTTATTATGATAAAAGTATATATAATATTAATACAATGCTTAAGACTAATAGACTTAAGCTTGTTAATATGATAGCATAAACTCCTTAGAGTTTGTTAGCTAAAATACTTTTATGATATAAACATAGTACTGAGCTTAAGATATGATTAAACTTAAGTTAAATATATAATAGCAAAACTCCTTAGAGTTTATCAGCTAATATACTTTTTTATGAAGTAAACATAGTACTAAGCTTAAGATATGAATAAACTGAAGCTATATATATAATAGCAAAACTTCGTAGAGTTTGTAAGCTAATATATTTTACAATGTAACCATAATGATTAAGATATGATGAAACTTAAGGTAACTATATAATAGCAAAAAAACTCTTTGGAGATTGTTAGCTAATATACTTAAATGATATAAACATAGTACTGAGTTTAAGATATGATTAACTTAAGCTAAATATATAATAGCAAACTCCGTAGAGTTGTTAGCTTATATATTGTATGATATAATAACCATAGTACTGAGCTTAAGATAATAAAAGAACTTAAGCAAAATATATATAGCATGTAGCTATTTAGTACTGTTATAAGATAGGTAAAAATCTGTAAGATTGACTTATCTTCTCCGAGGAACTGTCAACTGTTGTGCGAGGACCATGGGACCGAATTGGTGGATACCTGAGACGTCCTCGGTGGTGATATCTCTCAGATAGTGGTTGGCAAACACCATATCGGATCTCCAGAAATAACCCTCCATTATTTCAATAGCATTTGTGTAGAGCAATGTAGATGTTAGCGCTCTAATATCATGAGGATTAGAAGCTCATGGAGGGTCGATCCTGCAGTCTTGTAGGCACGTAGTATGACAGTTCTGATCCAAAAGGAGATAGTAGTGCGTGAGACTTCCGTCTCGTGAGCTTGATAGAGGAAATAAATCTCTTGCATTTTTCCCTCTGTTTGGATCGGTGGAGATATATTTTCAGTGCTCTTACTGGCCATCGTGATAGATACATCGTTATCATGGGGTCCAAGTATCATCAAAAGCGTGTTCATAAACCTCACTTGTGAGGTGTTGGAGCACTATATTCAGATCCCAAGTTGGAGCGTGAAACTTCCGTTTTAATCCTCCAATCGGAAAGCTCGTAGCAAGGCGAGTAACTGGGTTAGTTAACTTAACTTGCCCGATCTCAGTTATGATAGAGCTATTGCTGCAAGATAGGTGGACAAGTTGAGCCTTATAAAATCTTAGTCTGACGTAGATAACATAAGTAGTCCGCCACTTGAGGATGAGTAGCATATCTAGCTGTAAATCCTTCCTTTGCAGCATAATTGACAAACTGTGCCATTTGTCATCGTTATAAGTTGCCAGTTGAGTTACGCAGGGCAAGCTAGACTGCTTTGCCGCCTGGCTGAATAACTTGTTACTCAGACACGCCTTGATACAATCCAAACGTGAAGTTGGAATATATCTGGCTTTCCGTGCGCTTGTTTGGTGTCGCGGATGTATTAACAGATCTCGAGCACTCTGTAAGATGTAGTATTGGTTGTCTGATTTCTTGAATAAGAGTTGGAAACCACGCCTCTGCTGGTCAGTAGGCCGTGACCAAATTCAGATGGAGGCTCTGCTTTTGACTGATTTTGAGTAAACTTGTGAGATTAACGCTGGTGGCGGAAAAGCGTACGCGTTGAGTCCTTCCCACGATATGCTTAGTGCGTCTGTTGCCAATGCTAGTGGGTCTGGAACTGGCGATACGAATGTTGTCAGTTGTTTGTTGAATCGAGTGGTAAATAGGTCTATTAGAGTAGTTCCTATTTCCTTGATAATTTGAGTGAATATCTCTGTATGGAGCATTCATTCTGTCGGCGATGGTATGTGTGGCCGAGAGAGAGCGTCTGCTATCACATTCTTTGCTCCTGGAATGTGAAATGCTCTGACATGTATGTTGAGATTGTCGATTAAATCGAACAATTGAAAACAGAGTCGATATGTTCGGGGACCTGGTTGAGCTTAGTTTGTTCACATAAAACGCCACTGTCGAATTGACTGTGTGAATCATCCACTGGGTATACTGTAGTAAGTTGCTCCAGTGCATTAAGGTGTTTATTACTGCTTGCATCTCTAGCAGATTTATGTGTAATTTGTTCTCTTGATTGCTCATAGCCCTGATGCCGTCCTGTTGGCAAGATGGGCTCCCCAACCTTATAGTGACACATCTACGTAGAGAAGTGTTATCGATTCCAGCTCTATTAACGAGACGCCTATTCAAACATTGATCTCTTGGTCCACCATAGTAGATGAGGTTTGACCTGAACCGGTGAATTGAACGGTAGGGATTCGTCTAGATGCGAATTGATGATGACTTGTAACGGATGTAATTGTAGTCTGCCTCTGCCTGTCATGTCTTGAGCTGAGCTGAAGTGCGTAACCCCAACAGACTCTGTCACTGTCGTAGTGGTAGCGGAGATAGTAAGGCTTGTGGAAATGACTGTTGGATCTTGATCCATGGTTCTCCGGTACAATTATACGATTCTGCGCCGTTACAAATCAAAAACCTAGAATTAGCAGATCTTGCGAAGGTTCTAGGTCCAACTTAGTAGGTTTACTAACCATCTAGTTGTGTTAGTAGCTTGATGATGAATTCAACTGTAGTCTGAGACGCTATGGATTTGGATCCATTTGTATCCCGTCGTCGAGGTAAATTCGCTGCGAAGTGCTTGACGATGTAGGTGCACAACCAGGGGTGACTGCCATCGTTGAATTTTTATGTAAAAAATCGCCTGACTGTCGTGCCCTCGTCCTTACTTGACAGGGGAGGTCTCTAACCTCAAGAAGGCAGCCCAATCATGAAGGTTCAGATTAGCTGGACTGTAAGGAGGCTTGCTCGTTCACTGATATATTGTTGTCACTTGCAACCTATGTGTTGAACTGTGAACTATGATCGACCTCTGCGTAGGGCGTTGTCCATCTCGGTCCAATCAGAACAAGGCATTTTGATTCTGTAGAGTACCCGCGCTGTGATGTCACCGGTGTAGCAGGAAAAGGCACCTTGTATAATATAGTGCCGTCGTTGATATTAGAACAATCGTCGGTCTTCACCGTAGCTTCCCCGAAGTTACCCGAGTGACCACGTGTTTCGAGGGTTGATGGTAAACGCGCGAAACCTCCGGCGCGAAATACCTCGCTCTGTAATATTAATGCTGGGTAGGTTATTTTCCAGGCTGTCGTGAAAGTAACTTCAGTCTTGAAGATAATTCCGACTTCCTTATATAAGGTTCAATAAACCTTGCAAGTTGTCAGCTTGTAGACTGTTAAAGCTGAACTTGTTGTACATATTTCTTCTCAGGAAATCATAGACGATTATGAGTTTACTCGTTGTAACAAGGCTGCTGTTCAATTTCGTTATTGAATTGTCTGCAGATCTGCGTAATGGTCACGCATGTAGATAATCGTATCGTAGTAGGTAGTCAGCTTGAAGATCCTTAATTAGGCTCTTCATCTGTTGATAAATTAATACAGCGACGTTCTGTGTTGTAAATAGCCTGTGCAATTGTCTTCGCGTAGGCTTGTAGACGGCATATGGCTTACAGTTGATAGACAACTCATGCGATGTCTTGAACGGACTGACGAGTGGCTAGTATATGGAGACCTTGGAGGAGACTTCCTCGGCGAACGCCGGGAACTTCGCGAAGATCTCGAAGTAACGCTTCTAGATCTTCTGGGTGAAGTAGACTTGCAGCCACTTAGCCTTCGTGACCTTCGCGAAAGTATCGAGTCAGAGTCCAATCAATATATGAGCGCTTGCTTCGCGAACGACCTCTGTGTTGTACAGGGTGTGGGCTCGGCGAAGCGCTCCCTCAACTCTATATATGAGCGCTTGCTTCGCGAACGACCTCTGTGTTCTACAGGGTGTGGGCTCGGCGGAGCCCCGCAACTCTATATATGAGCTTGCCCGCGAACGACCTCTGTGTTCTACAGGG